CTTTATCCAGAAATTAAGCCAAGAAAGAGCCCTCAGCTTCCATGTTTTATTCCCTTAACTGGTCATCAGATTATAGGAGAATGAATTACAAAACCGGAAAAACGCACCTTTTTTGGGTAGTTTTTGCACGTGTAGCGTGGAAAAACGCACCTTTTTTGCCCAGTTTCCACGATCCGGGCTTTAAAACTTCCTAGGATGAGTTTTAGCGTCATTACCACCTATTTATCCAGAAATTAAGCCAAGAAAGAGCCCTCAGCTTCCATGTTTCATTCCCTTAACTAGTAATCAAATTATAAGAGAATGATTACAAAACCAGATTGGTCCTAGTTTCCACGATCCAGACTTTAAAACTTCCTAGGATGAGTTTTAGCGTCACTTTACCTCCTCTTTATCCAGAAATTAAGCCAAGAAAGAGCCTTCAGCTTCCATGTTTATTCCCTCAATTGGTCATCAGATGATAAAGGAATGATTACAAAACCTGATTTGGTGAAATTAAACCAAAAAACAAGGAATTTGGTGGATAAACGACAAGTTAACATAAAAAAACTGGAGTTCTGGAGCCAAAAATGGAAGCAGGTGACCACTAATTTCAAACTTTTTCCTCATTAATGAACAAAAATGAGAGAGACATGGAAGAAATGTGAGAAATTAAATGTAATATGTTCATTTAAGAAAAATAGAGCCACGATAATTATAGAAATATTTCATATCTGAGCAGAAAAGCTCCAGAAAAGTCGCGTTTTCCCTCCACAGAGAAGCCAGACAGCTTACTGGGAGGTTAAAGGTGTTTTTTTATTAGAAGGAAAGTCGTTTTTAGCAGCGTTTCCAGAGTTTCAGGTGGGTGGCTGGCAGCTGTCACCACCACGCTTCTGCTTTCCGCTGAAAACTGAACCACAAACCGCAACAAAGAGAAAAGCCAGAGGGTTTTTCTGGCCTGTAGTGGAAGCCTGAGGCCCAAAGAGGTTCAGAAGAGCAGAAAGAAGCAGGATGGAGGCATTTTTGGATGTTTGGATGCCATGAAAAGACTCGTGGAGGAAAGCAGGGCCCACTTTTCTCTGGATATCTGCTCAGTTCTGACAGGAAATGAGCACCACAGAAGCTCCAGAGAAAGTCAAATGTGTGGAAACTAGGGTTGTCACGGTACTAAAATGTTCAACTGGATACCGATACTCAGGAAAATATTCTATACCATTTTCGATACCACAAGGATAAAAACAAAGACCCCAAAATGTAACTGAATTTTGACAGGTGAGTGTCTTTGGTTTCAAACTGACCTGTTACTGATGTTATGGTGGCCCACATTAATGACCCTAACCCTAACCCTAACCCTAACCCAAACCCTAACCCTCCACCCTTCACAATTATGAGAAATAAAAAAATATTTCTTATTGTACACTATTTTAACATAATATTATGGATAGAGTTTTATTAAGTGTTTGAAAGATTAATTTCATTATTTTTAAATGAATGTCTATATTGCCGTGAAGCAATTAGGATTTTCTTACCTGGGATCTTCCTATTGGTGACCTTATCAAAATGGCCGACTTGGATGTGGGCGGAGCTAGATATGTACTTGACTAATGGTAGCATGTTATTATTAGCCATTAGCCGCAGCTAGCAGTTCAAGGATAACGTCATGTTAATGATCATAAACAACGTAAATAAATAAATCATGTTGGATTAAAGCTCCGTGTGTTTGGCTAGTGGCGATCAGGTCATCACACTTTTGATTGGCACCTCGTTGGGCTAACCCTTGACCCTTGACCTTTGACCTCTGCAGAGCCGATGAGAACGTGTCTCCACGTGCTGCCTCGTTTAAAAAGAGGCATTTCTGTGTTGCAGCTTTAATAATTAACTGTGTTTTGGGACAGTTTGAGGAGGATCAGCTAAGATTTTTAGATTTTTAGTCAACTCTTCTGACACATTTCTGTTGTTTTTGGGGTCTAAATCAAACTGGGGACGCTCACCCAGCTGAATTCAAAGCATTTCTGGTGTATTTGAGCAGGTGGAACCAGCCGGGCTCGGCTCTCTGGTCCAAATTGTGTTTGAAACCAAAGGTTTTATCCAGCCAGCAGACACACATAAGTTATGGCCCGTTAATATCTTTAACCTCTAAGCTGCTTTACCCCATAAAACATCTAAAAAAAAAAGGTTAGCATGCGGCTAACTGAGGCACCAGAGTCTGTAAACCGGTGTCCTTCACTGTCCGTCGCACACTGATGACATCACTGATGACATCACTGTCCCTAATAAAAAAAAAAAACCAACTGAACCTCCACTTTAAACTTAATGTAGAAAAACATCTAAATAAGGACCATTTTTATTGGTTTGAATCTTCTTTTACTCTCTAATATTTACATTATTTTTATTATTGTATTATTAGTTACAATATTTTTCTTACTTTCTTATAACTGTGGAGAACTGTGCTGTTTTAAGATGTGCTACATCAAAGATGTGGGGCTGTAATGATAGAAAATGGGATAAAACTGCTATTAAATGTTTGAAGTTCATCAAAATATTCACCAACGTTTTGTTGCTTATGTATTACATGTTAAACTGTTTAAACGCCATGTAATCAAACTGGTATTTAAGGGGCTAAAACCCTCAAATAGTTGAATATTTGGTTGTTTTGAGCAGGAAGAAAGGCTCATAAGAGGAAAATAAATAAAAATGTGCTATTTTTCTATCAGTTTTTTTTTTTAAGTGTCCGTTTTAAAGCTGAAATGACTTAAGAGGATGATGAATAATCTGCAACTCCAGCAACACTAAAACTAAAAATGGCGATATTTGGCTAATCTTTCACATATTACAGAAATACTTTTACATTTCTTACGTATTGGATATCAATTTATTGGAGCTCCATGTAATCAAACTGGTATTTAAGGGACTAAAACCTTCAAATTGTTGAATATTTGGTTGTTTTGATCTAGAAGAAAGGCTCATAACAGGAAAAAATGTAAAAAGTGCTATTTTATGTATTTAAGGGGTTAAAACCCTAATTTTCCTTTAGGTTTTTAACGATGCTTTTCTGTTGGGCCATTAGAAAAGTGTCCTGGTTGAGTTGGAATCCGCCCGGATGGGCAGAAATGTCCATAAAGAGGCTTTTTCCCCTCCATTTTGAGCAGCTTTTTCTCGGCTTTTGTCTCACTTCTGTTAGTTTTGGTTCTTTATTTGGAAGCCTGAGAATAAACCAGAGCAGATCAAGAGTACAAATATGATATTTATTAGCTCTGACATGAACAGGCCAGGTCCTAATTCATGCAGGTTTCGGTGGAATGTGATAAGAAAGTGTGAATGTTGACCTTAAAGACGAGTATCTACTGTAACAGAGAGAGGAGGAGGAGGCACAGCCAGAGAGTTTAACCCAAAAGTAGAATTATAAAGGGGATAATATAAATCTAAAAGGGAATAAGATAATCAGTCATTTACATGGATTAAGTTAGAACATACTGTGCTAAAGTGAGTAATTGTAGCCCGATTCTAACACCTCCCTTCTGGCACATTGGCTTATTTCTTTAGACTTACTCTTTTGTCAGATGTAAGTCAGAAGTTTGATGTAACATGGCTTTTTTTTTTATTATTTCTGTATTTAGAGTTTTTCTGTCTCGTTTTCTGTTTTAAAATTAAAATGAAAAAAGCTAGGAAGAGGAGTAGAGAATTTAACCCAAAAGTATATTTATAAAGGGAATAATATAAATCTAAAAAGGAATAAGACAATCAGTCATTTACATGGATTAAGTTAAAACATACTGTGCTAAAGTGAGTAATTATAGCCCAATTCTAACACCTCCCTTCTGGCATGTCGGCTTATTCTTTAAACTTATTCTTTTGTCAGAAGTTTGATGTAACATGGCTTTTTTTTTTTTATTATTTCTGTATTTTTCTATCTTGTTTCTGTTTTAAAATTAAAATAAAAAAAGCTAGGAAGAGGAGTAGAGAATAAAGGGAATAATATAAATCTAAAAAGGAATAAGACAATCAGTCGTTTACATGGATTAAGTTAGAAAATAATGTGCTAAAGTGAGTAATTAGAGCCCAATTCTAACACCTCTCTTCTGGCACGTTGGCTTATTCTTTAGACTTATTCTTGTGTCAGATGTAAGTCATAAGTTTGATGTAACATGGCTTTTTTAAAAATTATTTCTGTCTCGTTTCTGTTTTAAAATTAAAATGAAAAAAGCTAGGAGGAGGAGTAGATAATTTAACCCAAAAGTATATTTATAAAGGGAATAATATGAAATATGATGATAATATGATGATATCTAAAAAGGAATAAGACAGTCATTTACATAGATGGATTTACATTTACATACATTTACATACATGGATTAAGTGATAACATACTGTGCTAAAGTGAGTAATTATAGCCCGGTTCTAACACCTCTGTCTGCTCTGGTCTCTGCAGACTCCCCTGGTGAAAACCAGAGCCCTGATCGGGGAGGCGGGGGCCACCTTCACCAACTCCGTGAGTGTCTCTAACCTCTGTGCTGCCTTCAGGGGCCGCGGGAAATCGCAGCTCTTTCGCTTCGGCTCGGTTTCTGTTCCGTTTTTAGACTTTGTGCAACTTTACGTGTAAAAACCAGCTGATTCTTATCAGAAACAGGAAATGTAGATGAGGCCACATGTTTCTGTGTCTGACTCCCGTGTGATCAGATGTCGGGTCGTTTCAACACGTCCGCGGTTCTGAAACTATCCAGAGTACTAATCGAGGCTTTGATTAAAGACGGGACTTTAACAGACACATTAAGTCAGTCGAATCAGAAGCTTTTTACCATCTAAAAAACATCCAGAATCAGAGGAACAGAGTCTGAACCAGAACCAGAAAGACTGATCCAGAACCAGGAAATGGGATCACATCAGTCCAGTCCAGAACCAGAAAACAGGACCACATCAGTCCAGTTCAGAACCAGGAAACAGGACCACATCAGTCCAGTTCAGAACCAGGAAACAGGACAAGATCGGTCCAGTTCAGAACCAGGAAACAGGACCATATCAGTCCAGTTCTCAGGTCTCTCAGAACCAGGAAACAGGACCACATCAGTCCAGTTCAGAACCAGGAACCAGGACCACATCAGTCCAGTTCTTAGGTCTCTCATAACCAGGAACCAGGACCATATCAGTCCAGTTCAGAACCAGGAAACAGGACCACATCAGTCCAGTTCAGAACCAGGAACCAGGACCCCATCAGTCCAGTTCAGAACCAGGAAACAGGACAAGATCGGTCCAGTTCAGAACCAGGAACCAGGACCACATCAGCCCAGTTCTCAGGTCTCTCATAACCAGGAACCAGGACCATATCAGTCCAGTTCAGAACCAGGAAACAGGACCCCATCAGTCCAGTTCTGACCAGGAAACAGGACCACATCAGTCCAGTTCTCAGGTCTCTGGTTTCCTCAGAGAACAGGCTTTATTTCAGTTTTATGCTCCTAAAATCTGGATCAACTCTAAACTCTGAATATTTAAATCAAGACCAAAAACACCAGTTTAACTGAACGTATTTTATCTGAAATCTTCACTTTTAATTGATTTAACTTATTGGGATTCATTTTATTTCTTTAAACTCTTTCTAATACACTTTGAATAGTCTGGAACATTAAATGAAATGTACTATACTATATGTACTATGCTACATGTGTAATCTAACCCTTAAGGATAGATAGATAGATAGATAGATAGATAGATAGATAGATAGATAGATAGATGGATAGACAGATGGATAACTAGTTAGCTATCTAGCTAGCATGTAGCATCAATGGATGCTACATGTGGAATCTAACCTTTAAGGATAGATAGATAGATAAATAGATAGATGGATAGATGGATAGATAGATAGATAGATAGATAGACAGATAGATAGATAGATAACTAGTTAGCTATCTAGCTAGCTATACTAGCACTATACTATATATAAACTTGACCAACACCAAACAAACTCTGTTTCTTCTTTATTTTTACGTGTGTGTCGGAGCACGTTTCCATGAGCCCAGCAGCTATTTCCGGATTAACCTTTCTCTGGAGCCTCTTTCTGGTCCCGTCCAGGCAGACTGATCCGGCCTGTGCTTGCCTCGCCCCCAGTTCACCGTCTAGCTAGCATGTAGCATCAATGGATGCTACATGTGGAATCTAACCTTTAAGGATAGATAGATAGATAGATAGATAGATAGATAGATAGATAGATAGATAACTAGTTAGCTATCTAGCTATACTAGTACTATACTATATAAACTTGCCAACACCAAACAAACTCTGTTTCTTCTTCTTTATTTTTACGTTTGTGTCTGAGCCCAGCAGCTATTTCCTGATTAACCTCTCTGTGGAGCCTCTTTCTGGTCCCGTCCAGGCAGACTGACCCGGCCTGTGCTTTCCTCGCCCCCTAGTTCACCGTCTAGCTAGCATGTAGCATCAATGGATGCTACATGTGGAATCTAAGCTTTAAGGATAGATAGATAGATAGATAGATAGATAGATAGATAGATAGACAGACAGATAGATAACTAGTTAGCTATCTAGCTATACTAGCACTATACTATATATAAACTTGACCAACACCAAACAAACTCTGTTTCTTCTTTATTTTTACGTTTGTGTCTGACCACGTTTCCATGAGCCCAGCAGCTATTTCCTGATTGACCTCTCTGTGGAGCCTCTTTCTGGTCCCATCCAGGCAGACTGATCCGGCCTGTGCTTGCCTCGCCCCCAGTTCACCGTCTAGCTAGCATGTAGCATCAATGGATGCTACATGTGGAATCTAACCCTTAAGGATAGATAGATAGATAGACAGACAGACAGATAGATAACTAGTTAGCTATCTAGCTATGCTAGTACTATACTGTATATAAACTTGCCAACACCAAACAAACTCTGTTTCTTCTTCTTTATTTTTACGTTTGTGTCTGAGCCCAGCCGCTATTTCCTGATTAACCTTTCTCTGGAGCCTCTGTCTGGTCCCGTCCAGGCAGACTGACCCGGCCTGTGCTTGCCTCGCCCCCAGTTCACGGTGTCGCCGCTGTGCTGCCCCAGCCGCAGCAGCATCCTGACCGGCCGCTA